CAAGATTGCCCGTAGGTACCATTGAAATCGTGTCCGACGTCAAGGTCGTTACTGCTGGTACCCGTGTCGGTCCTTCCGAAGCCACCCTCTTGAACATGTTGAACATCTCCCCGTTCACATACGGTATGACTGTTGTTCAGATCTACGACAGAGGCAACACCTTCTCTCCCGACGTTCTCGACGTTGATGAGCAGGAGCTCGTCGACCGCTTCCTGTCCGGTATCAAGACCATCGCTGCCATCTCCTTGGCCCTCAACTACCCTACGATCGTCTCCGTTACCCACTCCTTCGTCAACGCTTACAAGAACCTCCTTGCCATCTCCATTGCAACTGACTACACCTTCGAAGGATCTGAGAAGGTTGGCTCGATTCATCGTATCCGAACATTACTGGTGCTGATACTATTGTAATAGGTCAAGGAGTATCTTGCCAACCCCGAAGCTTTCGCTTCTGCTGCTCCCGCTGCCGCCGCAGCCACCAGCGAGGCTCCCAAGGTGGAGGCCAAGGTTGAAGAGGAGGAAGAGTCTGACGAGGACATGGTAAGCGATGGGCTTTCTCCTGGAAAACTTCAGTTTCTGACGCACGTTCTAGGGTCTCGATCTCTTCGGTTAAAGAACGAATCCGATATTCTGCCGCTCCCAATAGTCTTCTCATGTGTACTTTGTTGTATCTTGCAATTTGACTGTACTAGCACAACCCGTAACATCGTGCAATGCCGGAAAAGAGGACGAGAACTTGTTCTTCAGCAGGTTTCGCCGAGATAAGGTCGATATCACCGGTGACGAAACCGATCAGGCGATGACGCTGGAGACCATGTTAAAGCCTCTGGGCTGCATAGTTCCGTGGACTGAAAAGCTTCCTTGTTTTTATATGTGCTAGCACCTTTCATCTCGACCCACATCGGTCTCGCCATAGCCTCCATCCGACACCTTTCCCTTGATACCCATGGCTTCTGAAAATACCTCGACGCCCTCGACTGAAGGTGGACATCTCATTGTGGTGTCCAACCGATTGCCAATCACAATCAGCAAGGATGCCAGCGGCGAATACCACTTCAAGATGTCCTCGGGGGGACTCGTCTCTGCGCTCTCTGGCTTCAAGAAGTCGCTCAACTTCACTTGGATCGGTTGGCCCGGCTTCTTCATTCCCCCCAAGGACCGTCCGATCGTTGACAAGCGACTCAAGGAAGAGTACTCTTGCCAGGCTGTTTACCTCGACGACGACGTCGCAGATCGCCACTACAATGGCTTCTCCAACTCCATCCTTTGGCCCTTGTTCCATTATCATCCTGGAGAGATGAACTTTGACGAGGAGAACTGGCTTGCATATCGCCAGGCCAACTTGCAGTTCGCTGAAGCTGTTAGACTGCACGTCGGACCCGGATCGATGGTCTGGGTACAGGACTACCACTTGATGCTGCTGCCGATGATGTTGCGCATCCTCATCGATGGTCCCTCTGCCGGCAAATTCTCTTCCAAGGAATTCTCAAGAATCACCGAAGGCATTTCTGATCAAATGCCTACTCCAAGCCCAACAAAGATTCCCAATGTCAAGATCGGGTATTTCCTGCATACTCCGTTCCCTAGCAGTGAGATCTACAGGCAAGTTTTCTTCAATCTCCTCTGTAGCTGTCCTCATCTGGTACCATCAGGATCCTGCCAGTTCGACGCGAGATTCTGCTGGGAGTGCTCTACTGTGATCTGATAGGCTTCCACACCTACGACTATGCCCGGCACTTCCTTTCCTCTTGCACCCGAATCCTGAATCTCCCGACGATGCCAAACGGAGTGGAATTCGAAGGAAGACTCGCGCACGTTGGAACCTTCCCCATCGGCATTGAGCCTTCTACCTTTATCGATGTGAGTTGGATTCTGTTTTTGGGTGTTGGAAGAAGAAGCGAGGAAGTCGCTGATCTGTTCTCTGATAGAACTTGAAAAGGCAGGGCGTCCAAGATCGTATCACACAGCTCGAGCAGCGCTTCCGTGGCGTGAAGGTTATCGTCGGCGTCGATCGTTTGGACTACATCAAGGGTGTTTCCTCAGAAACTTCATGCTCTCGAGCTCTTCCTCACGCAGCATCCCGAGTGGATCGGAAAGGTATGACCGGATCGCGGATGCTCGGATATGCAACGCTAATGCTGTATCCAGGTTGTTCTTGTCCAGCTCGCTGTTCCATCTCGTCAAGATGTCGAGGAGTATCAGAACCTAAGGTCAACAGTCAACGAGCTTGTTGGGCGCATCAACGGTCGATTTGGAACTGTTGAGTTTATGCCCATCCACTTCATGCACAAGAGCTTGGCTTTCGATGAGCTCTGCGCTCTTTACGCCGTCAGCGATGTCTGCTTGGTTTCAAGTACTCGAGACGGCATGAACCTCGTAAGTCGGCGTTTCTTTGGCCCCGACTCTTGTGAGATAACAACGCTGCGGCTTTAGGTATCGTACGAGTACATCGCCTGCCAACAAGAACGTCAAGGAGCGATGATTCTCTCCGAGTTCGCCGGCGCTGCACAGAGTTTGAACGGATCGCTCGTGGTTAACCCCTGGGATCTCAACAGGTCGCTGATGCTATCCACGAAGCTGTAACAATGGATGCAGCGACCCGTGCTGAGAACCATCGCAAGCTGTTCAAGTATGTGAACAAGTACAGCTCTTCGTTCTGGGGGTACTAGCTTCATTCGAGAGATGACCAAGATCAGTACCTCTGACGCTGTGCGTGAGTCTGCTCCTGCTGTTGCTTCGCCTTCCGCCTAGATGGAGGGTTAGTTTCGTATTGCTTCAAACATCAAGGAAAACATCTATAGACTTGACCTGGAAATCAATCTGTATATTTTTATCGTGTATCTTTCTTCTCTTTCTCCTATTGGATGACGTAGTTGTTTGTTTCGTCCTTCTTGTGTTTTTCGTTGTTGTCTGTTTATGATAGAGACGTTAGAATCATCCGTGTTGGGAGACCTGAGGGCATTTTATGAGGTTCGTTGAACTTAAGCGCCTGCACTTTCATATGTGTGCCTGTCAATACTATCATGAAATCGATAGCCCATCTTGATGATGATTTTAAGTCAACTGTCGAACTGATCAATAGCACTTTACGTATCGATTGGCTTGGCTTTTACAGCTTTTATTTTTAGCTCGCTGTTCGAACTGGTTCAATGCTAAACTTTGGGGCTTGAGCGTTCAGGTGGCCACGCCACCTGCATGCAGAAACGTTCGCTGAGGTACTGTAGCTGGGCAATATAACGGTTTTTGAACGCTGGCCTGGAGACGATAGCAAGAATAGGGGTAGGACCGGCACAATGGATCTCATTGTACTTTCGAAGCATCGTCTGTGGTTCCACAGCCCTTTCACCGTCACAGCATCTCTTTATAGCTGAATGCCTATCAGCTTCTTGCTAGGTTTCAAGAGAGCTCGACGAAGCTAGACTCCTCCGTCTCAGCTAGCTCGAAGGAAGGAATATTTTATTGTGGAATCCAGTCTGGGCATTGCAGGTAAGCGCCAGTAACCGCATTGCCACGCGATCAGTTGATCGAATCTCTAAGCGCCCAAAGCAGGATCGACAGCCGTTATGACTCAGGTGTGGGCGCCTATGTACATATGTTTGATTGCGTGCCACGAATATCCCACGAGGCATTCTGTTGAGTTGTTCACCTCGGCCCTGAGGATATGGCTACTTTAAAGTGACAGAAACATCATGAAGCATCGTGGTGTAATTTGTTTCGAGGCACGCTTTGAAATCACGGCGAGGCCGCCCCGCACGAGGCGGTTCAGCGCCACCTCAAAAACTGCGGAAATGAGGCGTGTTAGGCTGCATACATACCAGAAGGATAGGAAGTTCTGAATAGCCGGCTTACAGCAGTCTTGGTATGTAGTTCGATCCATTGTTTAGATTGGATCTTGCATTGAAAAGGAATAGCCGGATGTCGGGATATAATGGCAAGCCTTGTTCTATCCCTCTCGAAACGCTCAACACTTCGCTCGAGGGGTCAGGCCCACGAGTCCTCCAAGAGCAATGAAGGCCAAGGTTGTATCGTAGGTATTAGTATAAATAAGTCCAACGTGATCCGCTGATTTCTTGCAAGCGTAGCCTCCTTTCCGAGTTTCCGTTGGAGACGTACTTCGGTGCTATGGCTATCCCTGCCAGGCTGACCAGATGGTTTAACTGAGGTGGTCTGAAGTGCGGCCGTGAGAGCCTATGTCAATGACTTGCCCACACGCAAGCAATTGACCCACCTCCAGATCCCCAGGGTTTGTCTACATCCACGCAAGGAAATGTGACTTGTTCATGGTGAGCATCATAAGCTCTACAGCAGTTCTTGGCGGGTTCTTCTCCATCCGTCGAAAATCCCTCAACGAACCAGCTGGAGCAGTTTCCGCTCCTCCTCATCAACGTCTCGTGAAATTCCAAGACAGCAGCCACCTCTGTTTTTGCAAATTTACACCGCCTTGCCCTCGTGCTTTGCCAGTTCTCAGCTTGGTCAATAGCTTGCGAGGATATAGATCGTCGGATCCTCCTTCTCTGCAGGTAGTGCCCGTATGGTGCATGCCTTCCTACCTCAGATTCCCTGTCAGATTTTAACATGCTACGGCCTCGTATCACCCGAGGAATGTCAGTCCACAGCCATTCTTTCTTAGGGAGAGCCTGATGCGCCTTCTGCTTCTGATATGGTCTGACGGGTTTTCGAGCTGGTTCAATCAACAAACTGCGTTGGCATGTGGGAACGGACACCCCTGTGCTGCACGGCTTTGAGGAGATTATCTGCTGGCATTTGCGCCAAGAGGAAAGCGCAGTTCAACGCCGTGAAACCACATGGATTGTAGAGTGGCCGCACTGATTCTAGGGGCGAAAACAAAAGATCGATAAAAAACGACGAACCTGGGGCTCGAAGGGCTAAGTGCAATCGTCCGCCAAAATGCACATTTGAATGTTCCTAGCTGGGGGCCTTTGCACCCAGTTAAATGATCACGGAAAAATAGAATTGGCTCGATTTGGACCCTGAACAAAACGACGAACGAGGGACTCGAACCCTCAATCTCCAGCTCAGATTTGGCACTAAATAGACCGGAAACTGGCGCGTTAACCATTACGCTAGTCCGCCTTTACCCCGGGTGATATTTCAGGTAGTATTGCGCGTAAAATGGCCGACGAAGCATTGGCACCCACATCTGGTACAGTATATCTGAACATGCTCAACGCTGAGGACGAAAAGCAAACCGCTGTAGGAGCAGGCCGTGCTAGATCTGCAGTTTCAGGCTCAGTTCCAGATGGGCAGCGCCAAGACGACCAGTCCGGAGGATGTTCCTATTAGAGTTCATCTCATTCAGGCAAGCGACTAGACGACCGAAAGACCTCATGTTGAAAACGAGTTGCCAATGTCTTTGAGAGTACCAATTTCGCCATACAGTCTCGGGCGAGAGAGCCCTGGTATGTGCCGAGGCACTAGGCCAGGCGTATAGTGGAAGAGCAAGAGGCACGACTAGATTAGGTCCAGCCGCAATGTCTTTGGACGGTGCTCAGGAAAGACTATGGTCATGGAAATTGGGCAACTCTGGGCGAGAGATCGAACACCGAACTATTGGCTCGAGACAGAGCGTTTGAGATGGGGATATCTATGACGAAACTAAGCCATTGGCTCATTAAGGTCGTGGGTGCCGTATGGTCGATATGTTGCTAACAATGGGCCGATTGGCAGCGTTGCGAACGGCAAATCGTTCGCTTCTGAGCCAGGGAGCCAGATTTCAAGCTCTTTGAAGCCTTTTATGATTGCCGTTCGAAGAGGATTTGGTCACACGACCTCGCCACACTGGCGCGCACGCACGCGGCGTCTATGAAAGCGCGAGGATGAGGGCAGGACCTTCGTAACTCTTGCTTTATTCAGAGAGAATCGAGCGCCATATGTCATTCACCCCAATGGAAAACCAATCCCCCCTGGAGCTTCTGTTGCGGTCTATTCAGCTCCTGGTTGCAAACACATGTTGTCCTCGAGGCAGCAGCGAGTCTTTAGTCTAAAAGGGATTAACGCGACTCGGAGTATGAATAGGACAGGGTTTTGGGACATGTAAATATCGTAAATTTGCTTCTAGCCCTCAATGCAGGAGTACAGTGGTGCGTTTCGCATTCCTAGAGGCAGTGAGGAACCCCCTGAGCTTGTCCATCTTGTGCTTTACCTGCCCGGTGACTCCTTGAGACGAGTTGCTGCCGATTCGGCCGCGTCTCACGCTGCCCACGGCAATAGGACGTAAGGTTTGTCAGAGTAGCGGCACACAAGGCACTGAAAGCAGGTAAAATCTCGAAAGATTACTCTTCGTTTAGCGGCTATCAGACGAGATTGTGTATTCCTCGAGGTCAACACCAGGCGACTCGTCTCTCCCGGTTCAGTTCCGAACTGAGGATCGTCCTGATCCTGATCCAGAAGCAGTCATTTTGGCCATGGGCTCGCCAGCACGGTCAACAACAGTCGCAGAATGTGGTTTTCTGCAACAAGAAGTCAGAAACTACCAAACAAACGACGATGGGTATGCCAGCCCATATCCAGTCTTGCTCCACGCGCAGATCTTTTTGATGGGTTTCGAAGGAGTTGTGGATTGAGAATTCCTTTGCGGGACCCGGAGCTAAGAGTCGCACAGCCCAGCCGTAGAATTTAACCAGTCAAAGGAAATGAAAAGCAAGCCAAGACAGCGCGGAGGAACGCAGGCATGCAAGGCGACAGGATGCTGGAGACAGGGTGCTGACAACTCGTCCGATATAGAGAGAATGAACAAGTTCGATGCAAGCTCCAGGTAGTAACTCAGACATGAATCGGATTCGAGTCAGCAGATTCCACAAAATTGTTGGCACTGCCTAGCGCTCCGATTCCATTACTTCGAAGGGGACCTTCAGCCAGCGCACGACGGAGGAGACTCGAGAGCGATCTCCTGTCATTCGAGTGCGCAGCGGATCGGCGAGAAGTCAAGATAGTAACTGACTTGCACCTGTGTACACTGAGATTGCTTACCGGTCAATGGGGCCAATCCTATCGCACTTGCCTGTGGTACAGTCTCTAGCTTTAAAGATCGCCAAGGTACCCAATGCGGTAGGCGGCCGTCATGCATGTCGTCAAGACACGTTCTCAGAGATAATACTTACAATACAGTCCTGGGAGGTTTTCAGGGCGAGCTGAACTGGTGTCGTCATGGCGCGATTTTAGCCTTGCCACGCACGTTTATGGCACAATCGATGAATCGGTTGGCCGACAGCCAGTGTCGAAAGACTGGGAGAATATGTGGACCGACTCACTGCAGTGTGCGGACGACGGAGAGCTGCGCAGCTCTCCACGCCCGACGCGATGACCTGCCAAGAGGCTGGGTTGACGGGCGCTTGAAGTGGCTGATGAGAACTACCGGATTAGGTAAACATGTTTCGTTTATTGGCTCCCCTGGCTTGGAAAACAGCCCTGCAGTCTGTAATCGCCCTTGAGCAGCATTTGAGGGCTCTACGACGGTGAGCATCGAAGGGAGCGACCAGTGGCGACTTGGACGTTGGTAAAAAAAGGTGTGTGTGAAGCGAGCAATCCGCTGAGCTGGTTCAGTTCAATTCAAGGCTGTGCGTGCGTGAGACGTTTACAGCACAAGTGGAAAGGTAGAAAACCTCCATTCATTCTTTCGATATCCCCTCACAACCCTTCCACTATGCCGCCATCGAATAATGGCGAGCCACCAAGCATTCCTTCCATAAACATAGTGGCAGACAATGCTTCACCGTCGTCGCCATCTGGGCCCCAGGGCGTTCCCTCGAGTGCTGGCCTGCTCTCACCTAGGTCACCGTCGTCGTTCGTGACAGCGGACGGCGAGTCTGACGTTGGCTCTGCTCCACCATCCCCCACTCTTTCCAACCACTCGACAGGTCAATTCAACACGAGTCTGGTTCTGCGGGGCAACCAGCCTGACGGCACCTCTGGCATGAAATCGCTGGATATGCTGAAGCCCTCAGATGGGTCTTCACACATGCGGCGACCCAGCAATGCAACTATCGTCGAAAGCTCAGAGAATGAGAAGGACACCGGGTACGTTCATTTTACTCTGATATAGTTTACGCGCCCTCATGCCTCAAATTTGGTCTCTTAGCGGTAAGAACGAGAAAGGCGAGGAGGAGGATGGCAAGAAGAAGAAGAAAGGCAAGAAGGGCGAGAACAAGGAGGACGACGGCAAGACCACGCATCAGAAAGAACTCGAACAGGACGCGGCGATTAACCCCGCACCATTCCCTTTCAAGCCGTATCAGCTTGCTCATATGTTGGACCCCAAGAATCTCGAGACCCTCACCAGCTTTGGCGGTTCTGCTGGCCTCATGCGTGGTCTCGGAACAAATCCCGAAGCGGGTTTGTCAACGCCAGGCGCCCCGGCCCCTGCCGCCAACGCTGCCTCACAATCTGAAGAATCAACAGAGAAGGTGCCAGACGTCGTATTGACGACCCCAGAGGGCGCCATTGGCGCAGCCCCAGCACCCGTCGTGCCCACCGAGACCGTGGTTGCCACATACGAAGACCGGCAACGCGTCTTTGGCTCCAACACTCTCCCCACTCGGCCTTCAAAGAGTTTGCTGCAGCTCATGTGGATGGCTCTGAAGGACAAGGTTTTGGTACGTTGATTCCGCATCTCGTTCACCGCGCCAATTCTCATTTGCATTGCTAGATCCTCCTGTGCATTGCTGCCGCCATCTCGTTGGTACTGGGTATTGTCCAGGCGGTCACGCCGAAAACCGGACCGGGTCCTCATGAACCCCCTGTTGAATGGGTTGAAGGTGTTGCCGTTTTGGCTGCTGTGGCTATTGTGGTGCGTCAACTCGTCATCGAGGTTTTATGACCGGGGCCTGACGTCCTACAGGTTATTGTTGGCTCTTTGAATGATTGGCAGAAGGAGCGGCAATTCAAGGTTCTCAATGAGCGCAAGGACGAACGTGGTGTCAAGGTCATTCGTGATGGGGTAGAGAAGGTTATCGACATCAAAGAGGTCCTCGTTGGCGACATTGCTCTCCTTGAACCGGGTGAAATCTTGCCCTGCGACGGCATCTTCCTGTCAGGCCACAATGTCAAGTGTGACGAGTCTGGTGCCACTGGCGAATCTGATGCAATCAAGAAAGTGCCTTACCACGAAGTCATGGAATTGTTCAAGGAAGCTAGCGCCGAGGGCAAGGACCCGCACATGCTTCACACCGACTGTTTCATGGTCTCTGGTAGCAAAGTTCTTGAAGGTGTTGGCAAATATGTCGTTGTTGCTGTTGGTCCAAAGAGTTTCAACGGTCGTATCATGATGGGTTAGTTCCCCTCCTTTTTCAAACCCTTCACGATACTGATTCTTGCATTCAAGCTCTGCGTGGCGATTCGGAGAACACGCCCCTTCAGCTCAAGCTGAACAACCTCGCAGAACTTATCGCCAAGATTGGTTCAGCTTGCGGTGCCGCCCTCTTCGTTGCCCTCATGATTCGCTTCTTCGTTCAGCTTGGCCGTGGTGTCCCTGTTCGCACAGCCAGTGAAAAGGGCTTCGCCTTTGTCGATATCCTCATCATCTCGGTTACTCTCATTGTCGTCGCTGTACCTGAAGGTCCGTCTTAGCCAAGCTTTTCCCCTTGCGCCACGCTGACTGTCTCTCAGGTTTACCGCTCGCTGTTACACTGGCCTTGGCGTTCGCAACCAAACGTATGACGGGAGAAAACCTACTCGTGCGTGTTTTGGGATCCTGCGAGACTATGGCCAATGCCTCTGTCATCTGCACGGATAAGACCGGCACCCTCACCACCAACTCCATGTCCGTCGTCGCTGGCTCCGTTGGTGTCCACTGCAAGTTCGTCCGACAGCTCGAGGAGAACGCTGCTCGTACCAATGCCGACGAAACGGAGAAGTCTGCTTCTTCTGGCGAGGTCATTCGTAAAGAGCGCAAGGACTTTTCCGTCGAACAGGCTGAGCTCAACAAGGTTCTCCCTCCCGCCGTTCGCGATCTCTTCAACGAGGCTATCGCAACCAATAGCACCGCTTTCGAGGACAAAGACCCCGAGTCGGGCGAGATCGTTTTCGTTGGCAGCAAGACCGAAACCGCTCTCCTCTCGTTTGCAAAGGATCTCAAC